GACTTCAAGGGTAACACATGTATACTATCACTTAACATCACATAAAGGCTCCAAGTATTTCTCAAGTAGACACCAGTATGAAATACATGAACGGCAACAAATAGGCTGGAGATTTAAAGCCATATCCAACATTTACTAATTGACACTCCCAAAAGAAATACTTCACAGATTCCAAGTTCACAATTTCAATGGACTGAAGAACATGATCTTCAGGTGTCCATAAAGCAAGTACACAGAGATAAACAGTGTAAAGTAGGTTGCAATCAGCAAGTAGATCCAGTCCTTAAGACTTGGGCTGCAGTCAACTCATCCTCCATTTATTCGATGAGTTTCCGATGCCTTCATTGGGACTGCAACCTGATTCTATAGATGGAAGAAGACCTATAGAATCAGGTTACATGTCTCCCATCATGAACAAAGAAAAACAAGGCATTTTTGAGACATTGCTGTACAATAAGAGAGTTTGGAGGCATTACTGGCGGAGAAGGTCCTGTGACTGTGCCTCTTTGGGAGTCCCCGTTTGCAGTCCTGATGAAGGCATCGAAAACTGCAGCCTATTTCTTCATGTATGTCTCAAGTCTTAAGGACTGGATCTACTTGCTGATTAGATACTGCTTTAAATCTCCAGCCCATTTATTGCAGTTCATACATTTCATGTATTGAATACTGGTGTATATTTGAGAAATATCTGGATCCTTATGTGATGTTAAGTCATCCATGATTTATATTCATCTATTTCCTTAATTTATTGTTAGTTCAAGGGTAACACAGCAGAGTTTGTCTCCACAAACCAACAATCAGTTAATAGTTAACAGACTTCATTATTTTGGGGTATGGGAAGGGGGCTGTGATGGGGGGGGGGGGGGTACAGGAGGAAGGCTGGGACCAGCAGGAGTCAGCCGTATGCCTGCCTTACCATAAACCAATGTGCTCACTTAGAACCCTGTCCCCTTCCACAGAAACCGCTGAGCAAGCAGGGTATGCCTGCAAGTAGCCCGCCTCCAGCTCTGGATGGGTCTCCAAATATATATATATACAAGAGGCGGGACCCGCGATACTCACGGTGTGTGTGTGTGTGTGGGGGGGTATTCCCCAAAGCTCCTGGCCTGCAGAAGCAGGAGACGCAGCAACAGGTGAGCAC